CTAAAAATAACATTCTTTTGTTATATTAATATCATAAAGAAATCATATAAATATGAAAGAACATAAAAGTAAAAAATGACAGCTTTGAAAACAGCTTACATTTTAATTTCAAGGACAAAAAAAAAAAAAAAAAAAAAAAAAAAAAAAAATTAAGGAAAAAAATGGAAAATGAAAGTTACTAAACACAGATTCAATTAGTACAAAATTATTTTAACATTATTTTAGTCATTCATGTTTAAGTACTACTGATTCTTATAACATAATTTCATTGAGACGCGTTTTATACAAAAGCGTCTCAAATTTTCAATTGCTATTTTTATGTATTTTTGAGTTTTAATTCCATTATGTTAAAAAGGAATAATAGTAAAGTATGTGATGCAGGATATTTTCCAAGTGAATATCCTAAGCTTCAAACTGATCACATTCTGCGTAACATTGGTGTCAGCTTTTGTGGGAGAATATGTAAACAGACAGAGCTCATCTCTTTAACTTCTCGCGTGATATAAACATTCGTGTTTCTACATCCCTTCGAATTCTTTTCTTTGCTACTTTGTAGGGTCTTTGTGATGATTCATTTTCTAAAAAGTTACAGAGTGACATTTCTAGTGAGGCTCACATGGACATTTTGTCAGAGTTTTTGTGTGAAAGAGAGTTTGTCATTGAGTGTCTTGCCTTCAAGTGAAAGATTTTACTTCTTGTGAATAGTCTTTCGTGTATTTTTTATTAATTTCAAAGTTTATTAATGTATTTGATCAATTAAAATTTCAGAATAATTTTAAAAGCACTTCTAAAATTATTTCTCAAAGTAAGCATTTTTTTAAATATATTTTCATGTAAAGAGAAAAGTTTATTAAACGCTAATAATTAATAACTTAAGTAATACTCTAAAAATAGCACCAAAAAATCTGATGTGTACACCACATGACTTCCTTACGAACATTATCTAAGAGAATAAATGATGACACTCTGAATGATTTAATTATCTGTGGCCATACTATAATAGCTACGATTATTAAGCATTTTCAAGACAAAAATGTACTCATGTTAAAAAACGAAGACTTACTAAAGAGAATAAATGAAGAAACTGAGATCTGTCCGCCATTTGCAGCAACATATTAATTAGATAAGAACATTTTTAAACGTGCTTAAAAAACCCATGCGGCGTTTAGGTGCACATCCTATGATTGTCGTACACATGCAGACACTGGTGTGAAGACTCAGCTGCCGAACCTTAGATCTACATGTGATCCAGCTACCGAGGTCGGATCTACATCCCCACCGCTACCTTTTCTGCAATTTTTTTATTTGCCTCGCAATAACGAACTTGCGATTTCCCCTTGGGCATTTGGGCGTACAAGCCGGATTGCAAACGGCCAAACATACCGATGGTGCACATCTACTTAGGTTGAGTTACAGCCCACAACGAGTCGCAATTTAATCTATTGCGGCGTTTACGCTTGATGTGGCATTTGTGTAATTAAAATTTTTCCCGCCATTTTTCTTGCGGCGTTTACGCTGATGTGGCCTTTCTTCCGGAAATTACGGGCAAGTTACTAAGAGTAAAGACGAGAAACTGAGATCACTGTGCCAACAATATAATTTTAATCATTTTAAAGCAAAATGTACAATTACGAACATATAAGAGTGAGAAAGATCACGGTGCCGAGTAACAGAGTGGATATACATATAAAATATATTTATAGGCGTTTGTGCGGCCGATTGCAACCAAAAATACGAGGTGCACATCTACATGTTTACAGCAAGTCTTATATACAAAATTTCAACGTTCTGAGGCTACTCGTTTTTGAGTTATGCGAGATACGTAAGTACGTACGTTCTACACGCGACGAAAAATTCTCTTCAGAATTAATTTAAGCATTTTTTTTTTTTTTTTTTTTTTTTTTTTTTAGGAAACGAGTCTTTTATTCTGTCCTTATGTACAGATATCACGCAAAAAACATTGTTAATTGCATTCAAAAGCGCGTCAAAATGGATATTTTCGTTGAAATATGCTGGCCTGAACTTTTCACGATTACAATACTTCCTTTTTACTTCGTACAAGGAAGTAAAAATATGACGTTAGCACATATCCCCCCTAAAGTTAGGCTTAGTGAACACAAAAATCCCCATCCTGTGGAAGTAACTTCTTCCAACTACTATCCGCCCCAAGGGAATGCCTTAAACAAAGGCATTTTGTCTCAAAAGGGTTAATGCAGCCTATTCTATTTGCTACTATACATCAGCAAAATCAACATAAATAATGTAGATAACAGGATATTTCCTTTATCTTCTTGCACATAAAAAAGTAGCAACTTTTTTTTTCCTGGTCTTTCCTTATATTACCCATTTAAATATTTATCACAATGATTACCGTATATTTCCGAACATAAAACAATCAATGCATGTTACATATGGGTATTTCTTACCAAGAATAAGTTGAAATGAAAATTCTAGTAACATTCAAACATGTCGCCATGTGGACAAAAATGCTGCCAAGCACGTAATATGGGTAGAATGTTTTCCAATCAAATCGCTGTAAGGTAAAATACCAGACACCAACAATGACAGTTTTAACCCTTTGAAGTTAGCACATATTTTTCATTCATTTGCTGTCTTGTATATAACCTGTGGTACTCGTATTAGTCTTATTTTCTGCATCATTTTATGTTGTTTAAAAGATGAGCAGGAAGAAAAATTCTTATATGGCAAATTTCAAACTATAGGTGACCACTTTTGCTGAAAATTCTAACAACACTGTAATTACACAGCATTTGTCCATAAATGTAAAAGAAGTTCGAAAGTGGAAGAAAAAACATTAGCAATTAGAAACAATTCCGAAAATAAAATAAGTAACTCATTTTACTTGAAATTAACTTTTTCATAAACTTGGAAAATATAAACTAAAGAAATAAAAATATGGTTATTTAGTAATTTATCACCTGGCCCCAGTTAATAGCACAAGTATCTACATTTTTGGGAGATTAGGGAGGAGCCATGTTTCCTCTCATCTTGTTAGAAGTTCCAAAGCTTTTGCTGTTTTGTGCAACTTCAATTGTTGTTTCTATTATTATTATTTTCATATAATATTGCATTTTATCTATGTATGGTTATGTTATATATTAATGTACTGTATTAAAGTTGCATCACATTTCCTTTGTATTAGTATTATTTTATTTTTATTAGTAGTATTGTTTTATAGCATATTTTAGTATTCTTATTATAGTGATATTTGTACTATTATATAGCATATTTTAGTATTCTTATTATAGTAATATTTGTACTGTTATATAGCATATTTTAGTATTCTTATTATAGTAATATTTGTACTATTATATATATTCCTTATTCTCTCCAGAGATAGACACAGTCAAAAGTCGTTAATTCGGACACCCATAATCCGGACCTCAAAGCTACCAACTTTCTGCGCATGCGTCGCATTCACGCATGCGCACAGGCGTTTACGAGAGCGCGTAAGACCTTTTTACGGCTGCTAATATGTTTGTGCGCATGCGCATTTAATGTTGTAACGGAGGTATAAAGTGAGCTAAAATTATCTAATTCAGTTAATGTTGCAGATTGCGTTGTTCCTTAATCTTCGAATTGGATCCGGCTTATTATTTTTTGCAGACTGTTAGAGCAATTTCATAAAAGTAAGCTTGAACTTTCGATTATGTCAAATAGAATTTCCGATATATATTTACTAATATGTAATTTGTATCTACAAAGCGAAAGTATGTTTTGAAATCCGAAATCTGTTTATCAATTTCACGCGGCGGATTGGAAGTTGATCTGTCAGCACTATCCTTATCTTCAGGGCAGATGTTTTTATTTTATTTGGCTTATAATTCCTTACTAAGTGTAGTATTTTATCTCGTCTTTGATATGATTTAAATCAAGTTCCTCGTGATTATAATTCGCTTCCGATAGTGAAGAAAGTGACCCAGAGGTTATTGAAAACGAAAAACATTTCGATTGACAAGTAGTCGGTGTTCTCGGACACAGCAATTACGGGACTTGAACAGCGGAACTTTGTAACCGAACAAGAAATTATGTCTGTTTATAGAATTAAAGAGAAAGTATTATCACATGAAAACGAAGCAACTTAAACAACTTACATTGAAAGAAATGTTTAATAAAGTAAACAAATAAATATTAAAGTTTTTTTTTTTTGTAAATTTTGATACCCTTTAGATCATAATTGTTCTTTATTTTTCATAAATTACGGTTTCATATTTTTAATTTTATAATTTCTGCATGCCATCTTACCAGATTTAAACTGATGATCTATAATCCGGAAAAATCGATAATCCGGAATCGCCGAAGTCCCGACGAGTCCGGATTAACGACTTTTGACTGTATTATGCATTGTTGTTGTATTATAATACTTTTTGCATTATTTAGTTATCCACTTACTTCTTAAAGCTTGGCATACTTTGTGGACACCAAAACTCTGTTTTCTTAGAAAAAAATAAAATAAATAAAATAAAATAAAAATAAAAATAAAAAAATCAATTAATATGTTTCAGATGAAAGGGCAACTGACTAAAACAGGCATGGCCAAACTGCACCTCATGCGACCATTGGGTCTTTTGGTGTCTTTACTTTTCAAAATATAAGTTCATTTTGAAATATAAAGAGGTGTAAAAAGCAGAAATGCAGGGAGGGGATGCTTCCACATGCATCAATTCACATTAGGGCAGAAAATTTTGCTTTAAAAGTTTTCATATGCAGCCACTACATAGCTCTTCATATCAGAAACTTGTGGAAACATGAGAAAATGTGTTTTTTCTTAGGTATTTTAGTTTCCTACAGTTATATTTTTTTAACTAAAATGGGTCAATTTTCCCTAAATCCAAACTTATTTTATTTTTTACATAAAGAAGCAGAATTTTTTTAATTACTTTCACATAGTGCATCGTAATCTGCATAGTAATGTTAATCAGAATATCTGAGAAAAGCGAGAAAAGCATTCTTTGGAGGATAGAAAAAGGATCCAAGAT